TCGAGTCGCCGGGTTTCGAATGACGGACCGGCCCCTTCGGATATTTTTCACCGGCAAAATCCGTCGCGTCCGTGGCGGCTTTCTCCAACGTGATATCACGAAGACGAGTCGCGGACCGTTGACCTCCGTCGACTATCGTTTTTGAATCTCGAGTCACGCTTGAACTCGAAGATACGATCTGATCGATAACCTCGGCCGAAGAGGCCTCTTGAGTGACTTTAACGCTCGTTTCACTGTCCCTCGCGTCACCGTGAATCCTTTTACCCTTAGAAGCGACGGGTTTCTCATAGACGAACGTGCCGTCCCACGTGGACTGGCCGGGCTTGTTGCAGCGCGTCGATATCTCGATGTTCGAATGCTCCGCTTTCGAATCGCGGCGCGTACTCTTATCACCAGTCCTGTTGATATCATCGGTATTTTTAATGACAACCACATTGGAAGGCGTGATCGTACGCTCGCTGTCAACTTCCCGGCTCGACGTGGACATCGTTCTGCCGTTGTCGTCGATTCTTCCTCCCGTCTCGCGTATTCTCGTTGTGCTCGACTTGGTCTGGCCATCCTTCGTTACGGCTTCGCTCGTTTCGCTACTTACGTGAGTACTCTCGGTCGATCTTAATGATGTCTGAATTACGGGAACGTGAGCTCCATTCTTACTGTCGTGAGAAACCGCAACGGTGGAGCGGTGTCCGCTGTGATCCTCGCACGTCGATGAACTCTCGACCAAGATGCTGGAGGAGCTCGACTGCTCAGCCATTGATGCGCTTTGACTTTGCATCTGCACAGACTGGCTGGCTCGTTCAGTCGTTCCTCCTTGAATCGTCCGACTTTCCGAAAGAGATGTCGCGTGCTCGCGCGGAGTCTCGCGCGTCGTCTTCGCTTGCTTAATCGATTGCACCTGCTCCCCGGCTATAAAATCTTGAGAACTTTTCCCGGTCTTTCGGCTCGACGAGCTCCGCTGGACAGTCTGCGGAGGTGTCTCGATAACTTTGATAACGTTACCTCTGGAATCCATGATGACCTCGCGACTGGCGCTCGTGACCTCCACCGTGCTACTTCTGGATTCGCTCTCCTTCACCTGATTCGACTCCTCCACGACGCTGGTCGCAGATACAACCTCGACCGTCTCCGCTGTCGCCACATCCGAGGACGTCGAGGTCGTCGCCACCTCGTTCTTCACGGCTCCCGCATTCTTCATCTTGGACACCGTGCCTTTCTTGTGAATAGTCATTGCTACGCGCTTTCGGTCGCTTCCACTGCCCGACCAATTTCTTTCGATCTCAATAATTTGTCACACGAACGACTCGTGATCGTTACAAACGCGATAAAAACCGAGAAAGTCTTTAAAACGCGCACTACCGACTGCGTTAACTTTTCAATCACTGTAACTTCGCCGCCGATTAGATTCTAAATGTAAAAAAGCCCCCGCTTATCGCCGGCACACAACCGTTTATCATCGGCACTCGGTCTTAACTACGTTACACCGCTCGCTCGCACGCGCTCGCGCCACTCATCGAGTCTCCGAGACGAACTGAAGCTCGGCTGTGACCGGCCTCGTTTACAAACTCGTTTCTTCTGTATGATCCTCGAGACTTTCTCGCCCGCGTCAGATACGTGCACGAGTTTTGCGCGTGCTTCCTCTCGCTCGCTCGTCGCGAGCCCCGAAATTCTCGGATCACTCGGGGACTACGCCGGCTCGAAAATCCGTGATTGTGAGAGATGCGAACCGATGTTCTCGGTCCGATATTGCGAGTCGATGTGGCATCGGCGGTTACTCACCGCCGCTGGTCTAGGTGACCACACGGTTCTCCACCGTTTCCTCTCCGTTCCTCTCTCTCTCCCGTCACTGACACTGACATATACCAACCATGGATCTTTTATGCCTGGGGAACACCGCGGCACCCCTACTTTCCGCGATGTGGCGGAGCCTCTGCACATTCGCCCGTACGTGGCCGATTCGTTCGGCGTGGGACGTTGCCACCCATCCTCCGTGTGTCCCACACGCTTCTGGCCGCGACGTGGGACGTATTCGCGTATTGTTCACGACCGGCAACGCGTGTTAGAATGCGTGACCCGTGAACACGCCGCTACCGTTCCAGGTATCGCTTAGGTTTCTACGTATTGCCAGATTACAGGCCGTCTTTCTTTTTCTCGCAGCTTATCTGCGACTTCTCTTCGTCGTGCACGTATTTGCACAGCGATAGCACGAATTACACCGCGAATACGCTTGTAGGTCAATGTCGAGTTCTGGTATGTAAACCTAATCGGTCACATTTCAAAGCTCGTACGACGAGGAAATATTCGATAAGGTATTATCAAAGGTTTCACAAAGATAAAATTATCCTTCGGTATTTTGTGTTCAAGCATAGACCTATAGACCGATTAAATGTAACGTGAAGCATGACGAGCAAAATAACATCGAGGCATTTTGTGTTGCTATTACTTTTTCTAATACTTTCCACTGCACGCAGCGAGCATTACTCGGTGGCATTTCACGTTAGATTTGAGCTGGAGTTACACGAGCTGTGTACGCGCTTCGTGCACACGCACGCGTACACGCATCAACGTACGCATTACGTAACGCACACGTAAACGCAGGATGTAGTCTTTTTTATCTTCCCTGTGTTAGTGTGCACGCGTGCACCTGTTGATCTCTTATACATTTCATATGGATGAAATTCCAAACTGGATTCCAGCGTAGATCGACTTGCGCAAAATACAATTTGGCGCTTTCACACGTATTTAAGTAATTATAAACTTTGTCACAATAAACTCTCGGTCTTATTTCTCTCGGGTTAGAGATTCAAACATATTTTTTTTCTATCATACGCGACATACGCGATAACCGACGAGAAAGTGTAATATTAATAGCAATTCGTAACGAACCACAAAATGTCCGAAATGGAGAAACAGTCGGTGAAAAACGAGAAAGTCTTATCAAGACGTGTTCCCCTACACGCGAATCGAAAGCTTCATCTTGATGCTTACTTCTATAAAAGTTTCGCGCAATGATTCATACACGATGACACGCAGGGCTCTTTCTTTTAACATTTTATAGCGATAAAAATTGCGGACCGCGAGCACCGCGAGCGCGACAGTGAAATCGGTGGGGAGGCACCTTCGCAGAACCGGTCCATCGTGATGCCACGGCGTAAACCGAGCGATGACGTAGGCTGCAAAACTACGACGACGATCGTAGCCGCTGTTTCCTCCCGAACGCACAAGTGTCACCAATCTCCATTGTTCAGAGACTATTGAGACAGTTAGTTATTTCAGACGGGACTAAACGAGTTCATAGTTCGCAAAGAGGCGCAATCGTTTCGCTGATTGCAAACGAACGAGTTCGCATTCGTGGAGCTAGATATATTCCTTCTCTATGCAAATATAATATACATTAGAATAATTACGAGAAATTATTTTACTGATCGCTACAATCATGTGTAATGTAACATATAATATTATCTCGTTTCATTATTGTACATCGAATTGACACGCACTCGATAAAAACCTGTTGATATCATGTTTCAGTGTGACTTCATTTCTTTATATAATTCTAATTTCCGTAGACAGAACAGTTAACTGTTTTATTACAATCTGTGATAAAATCTCCGACCAGAGTTAAGTATCTTTCGTTGTTGCGTTCACGATTGATCCATCGAGATGAAAATGCGATAAGCCGACAATCGTCGCTCAAATTATTAACTAATTAGAAATCAATCGCAAGCCAAGTTCACGCCAAGTTGAAAGAAATGTTGGGAGAAAAAAACGTTTAAAACTCCGCGAGCAGAAACGTTCGAGTCATTTATATACTTGTGTAATGTTTGTTTCCTGGCATATTACGTACGTCCTTGGAAATAAATCGGGCAAACAATTTTCTTATTTGATTGAAATATTAACACTCTCGAGACATAAAGTCCATTCGTGGGCGTCAAGGTGTGTCTCGGGCGTTAAAAAAAAATGCTCACGTACACTTACGTCTATAGACGTTTATTAACTTTAATGAACACTTATTCCTTACGGCGATTGCGGTACACATACGTAATGAAACGCGTCATTACATGGACGGAGATACCATCGTTAGAAGCATTATAGATCCAGCCAGGGTA